CAGGTTAAGGGGCGCATTTACTGGTTTTTTAACGGTCTGTTTCGGACAGGATCTATTGGGCTATCGTGCGATTAAGTTCCATTTTTAGTGTTTTTGTTTTCTTGCGCTTCATTTCGTCTTTGTGTGTGTATGAGTTGTCAGAAGTAGTCACATTCCTCTTTTAACGCACAGTGGATGAAATATTTAATTTAATATCTTTTTTTATGTCAATAGGACTCCAGTACCAACCAAGCGCCAGGGAACATTTTCCCCTCAAAGGACTCTACAGGTAGGCAAAATATCTCCTTGTTTTTCTAATGTGGAAGTTGTTTCTTATCTCGTTCAGAACTTAACAATGCTCAAAAAAATGATAAGTGTCGTCCCCAAACCTTTGACTTATCATTTCTTTTATTTTTGCAATAACAGCTCAAGTCCGAGCTCTGCTTGTTGGTGCTTTGGATGGAACTCTGGGCTCGTATAGTCCATCAGCCCGTAATTTACTTGAAACGCTTCTTGAGGAGCTTGATTTCAGTACCCTTGAAATGCAGGAGAATCCATCAACCACTTCTATGGTAAGACATCATGTGATCTTCCGTGTGTGAGTTGATTGATCAGTATGGTGGGTGAACTAAGATAATTCAGATCAGGGAGGTTTGTTATCCCTTAAACGCACCAGCCGGTTAGATGTCGATTAGAGAGTATCTGCAAGTTAGAGGAATGTATCCTAATTATGGCTTCAAGCATCAGGTTCTCCTTCGATTTTAAATGAAAAGAGAGAGAAAACTCTTATCAGTTCTTGTACTGATTCAATGGTTTGCTTCTGTTTTAAATATAACTATTTTGAAATATTTTATACACCATAACTTGATCTAACTTAGACTCTTTGTTCCCTTATTAGACTTTTGGTATCGATTTTCGAAATTCATTAAAAGTGATTGTGTGAACCAACATTTCATGTAAATGTTACCAACCATTTGCCATGTCTAGAAATTCTGTAAATAGATACTGTTTGGGGTTTGATTGGCCGTGCAATGTAAGGATTGTGCTGTCAGGCAAAGGTGTGGAGATCACTCCATGTTTTTATGCAGATGCAATAAAAGTTTAAAATTGTGATAACTTTGTCGGGAAATACATCAGAGGGATTGACAGAGGTTGATGCCGTGTCAACAATTAGAACCTCTCTGAAAAAGTCCCACATTTTGGGAATGAATGCAAATTTTTGGAAATATTTGTAGGGCAACTTTGGCTAACTTTCTCAGGCCCTAAGTATCAGGTTTTCCTTTGGATATTGACTAAAAGAAGAAACGTAACTCCAGCTGATATCTCAAAAATTTTCAATAACATCTGTTGAAGTTCAACCTCCCATCAGATCCTAGCTGACATAGTTCTACCAATAAGAAGTCCTCCAGTTACTTAAGGGAATTGTTGATTTTGTGTATTGTAGGTTGCACAGTTATTAGAGCTTGTTTGGGTTTGAAATATATAAAGGCACTGTTACAAGAAAAGCTTTGAAGGGTTGTTGTATGATAAAAACAGTTAAACAATTGCATTTCAAAATTTTATCTCTTATTACATACAACATGGCATTTACATTTCTCAAACTTTACAATTTTGTGGTTTGTTAGGGTGGATCATTTCTATCTGGAAAGGCTGATGAAATCAGTTCCTGCAAGAATTTACCAACTGGAACAAACCCAGGTCAGTACTAATTTCTGTTTTTGCACAACACATGCAAACAATATTGAACAGCTAATTCTTAAAAGCCATCAAGTATAATGAGTACCATGCTAAATTCATGTGTAAAGAAAAATTACCTACCCTAAAAACCCTGTTTATGGATTGAAAGTGATAGCATATGAAGAGATAACAAATGTCTCTTGTTTTTTGATCTGTTAAACATAGGTGTGTCCCCCATGTTTGCTTTAACTATAGTTCAGGGATCCCCACACCATGATGTTAATGAGACCAATATGCAGTTTGAGTCAGTTGGATGCTTCGTAAGTAATACCGGTTGTGATGGAGAGGTACCAGATGAGATGGAAAGTCCCTGCAAGAAGACTCAGGTCTCAGTAACATCTCTGGATGTTACTACAAATCCATCAGAGACCAATATGCAGTTGGAGTCAGCTGGATACATGTTAAGTAATACCAGTTGTGATGGAGAGGTACCAGATGAGATGGAAAGTCCCAGCAAGAAGCAGACTCAAGTCTCAATAAAATCCCTGGGTGTGGCTACAAATCCATCAGAGTCCAATATGCAGTTTGAGTCAGTTGGATGCTTCGTAAGTAATACCAGTTGTGATGGAGAGGTACTAGATGAGATGGAAAGTCCCAGCAAGAAGCAGACTCAAGTCTCAATAACATCCCTGGATGTCACTACAAATCCATCAGAGTCCACTATGCAGTTAAAGTCAGATACCAGTTGTGATGGAGGGGTAGTGGATGAGATGGAAAGTTCCTGCAAGAAGAAGACTCATGTGTCAATAACATCCCTGGATGTTGCTACAAATCCATTAGAGACACAAATGTCCATGTTTGAGGTAAGCTTGCAGAAAAAGAGGTCATCAACTACTAGTAAGACACTGAGGGATCTGTTTTGTCTCAGTTGACTCAGTGGTGTTTATTCCATCAACAAAACACATTTTTAGCATGGATAATTTATGATATACCATCACTTGTACTTGTTGCCCTTTGACCACAATTTTTATTTAGATTTCAAAGTCCATCGGAATAACAATTTAATCCTACTTCTAATGAAAATGTAGTTTGGCAATGTTTGCCAACAATTTGGCATTATACCTATTACTCTGACAAAGTCTCATCCCAGAACTCATGCCTTTCTCCAGAGTGCCATTAGCCATTTTGAGCAGAAAAGTTTTTCTTGGTGCTGGTTAGTTTTGTAGTGTAGTGGTGTGTTGTTTAGAGCAACTTTTGGCCCTTGGTGTATTGACAAAAATTATAAAAAACCAAACTACAATTTTTATCTACAAGTAAGTTTGAGAAGGAATAAACATTAAAAATTAAGCTCTTTTTGTTTGGTATATTAGGGTGGATCATTGGCATCAAAGGCCGATGGAATTATTACCAGGAGCAAGTTACCAACTGAAATTAAGGAAGGTCAGTACTTCTCTCATTTTGTTGTGCAACATCATTCAATTTCTTGCAACTTAATTTCTGTTTTTGCAAAGCATATGCACAACATCATTGGAAAGCTGATTCTTATAATCCATCAAATATACAGAGTTCATGAAAAATCAATATTCTGATTGCGAAATTCCAGGGATTGGGAGGGCCATGCACCATGTGCATATGATGAAGGAAATGGGCATTAATAAAATACTAAGGGGCTCTAAGGTGTGCCCAAGCCACAGCTAATGAAAAAATATTTTTATTTTACCTAAAAAAGAGCTTATATTCAGAGTACCATGGAAATTGATGTTCCAATGGGGAATTTTGAAGCGTTAAAACCCTGTTTGTGGATTGAAACTGGTAGCATATGGAAAGCTAACAAACAACAATTGAATTTTTGATCTGGCCAATACAGGTGTATCTGCCATTTGTGCTTCAAATATGTCTCAAGGATCCCTACATGCTGATGTTCCCGAGACTAATATGCAGTTGGAGTCAGTTGAATGCATCCTAAGTAATACCAGTTATGATGGAGAGGTACAAGATGAGATGGAAAGTCCATGCCAGGAGACGACTCAAGTCTCAATAACATATCTGGGTGTGGCTAAAAATCCATCAGAGGCCAGTATGCAGTTGGAGTCAGCTGAATGCATGCTAAGTAATACCAGTTGTGATGGAGAGGTACCAAATGAGATGGAATGTCCCTACCAGGAGACGACTGAAGTCTCAATAACATCCCTGGGTGTGCCTAAAAACCCATCAGAGACCAATGTGCAGTTGGAGTCAGTTGGATGCTCCTTAAATAATACCAGTTGTGATGGAGAGGTACCAGAAGAGCTGGAAAGTGCATGCAAGGAGACGACTCAAGTCTCAATAACATCCCTGGGTGTGGCTACAGATCCACCAGAGGCCAGTATGCAGTTGGAGTCAGTTGATTGCATGGTTAGCAATACCAGTTGTGATGGAGAGGTACCAAATGAGATGGAAAGTCCCTGCCAGGAGACTGTTCAAGTCTCAATAACATCCCTGGGTGTGGCTACAAATCCACCAGAGGCCAGTATGCAGTTGGAGTCAGTTGAATGCATGGTAAGCAATACCAGTTGTGATGGAGAGGTACCAAATGAGATGGAAAGTCCCTGCCAGGAGACTGTTCAAGTCTTAATAACATCCCTGGGTGTGGCTACAAATCCATCACAGACCAATATGAAGTTGGAGTCTGTTGGATGCTCCTTAAGTAATACCAGTTGTGATAGAGAGGTATCAGATGAGATGGAAAGTCCCTGCAAGAAGAAGACTCAAGTCTCAATAACATCCCTTGATGTTGCCACAAATTCATCAGAGACCAACATGCAGTGGGAGTCAGTTGGATGCTCCTTAAGTAATACCAGTTGTGATGGGGAGGTACCAGATGAGATGGAAAGTGCATGCAAGGAGACGACTCAAATCTCAATAACATCCCTGGGTGTGGCTACAGATCCACCAGAGGCCAGTATGCAGTTGGAGTCAGTTGAATGCATGGTAAGCAATACCAGTTGTGATGGAGAGGTACCAAATGAGATGGAAAGTCCCTGCCAGGAGACTGTTCAAGTCTTAATAACATCCCTGGGTGTGGCTACAAATCCATCACAGACCAATATGCAGTTGGAGTCTGTTGGATGCTCTTTAAGTAATACCAGTTGTGATAGAGAGGTGTCAGATGAGATGGAAAATCCCTGCAAGAAGAAGAATCAAGTCTCAATAACATCCCTTGATGTTGCCACAAATTCATCAGAGACCAATATGCAGT